GGGGACGGCCAGGCTTGAGAACCATTGAAGATGTCACTTCCAGAGGGTTTGGTGGCACAGGATGCAGGTGAAGGATGGTGGTGCCATTCACCAAGATGAGGGACTCCTCAGGAGGAGAAATGGGTTTGGGGGGAGGAGGCGCGGGTGGCAAATGATATTGACCTGAGGATGGCTGCCTCGGTAGTGGGGGGGAGTTGTGGGGATACGCACATTGGGTGCTGTTGCACCCCGGGTGCTCTCCAGGGACAAAGAGACAGAGACAGCTGGGGACGGCCTGGCCTCAGCCCTGATAGCACCATGGGCTTGGGACCCACGGGGATGGGGGAGGTTTCCCAGGGGAGCCAGTGCCGAGCTGAGCCTGGAAGGCTGGTGGGGACTGGCTGGCGAGAGAGTGAGGGGCAGCCTCCTGGGGAGGGCCTGGCCTGTTGGGATATGACACGATCTCTGGGTACAGCTCTGCGGCTCTGGGAGACAGCTCAGAAACCACATGCCCAGCAGCAGCCCAGACCTCTGGAACCAGAGCCCCTGGGGGCAGCCCGGCCCACAGCAGATGGCTCGAGCTATCGTGAGGCTCTGACCGAGACGGTGAGCCACGGACCCAGAGGTGCTGGGTCCAGGAGGTCCACTCGGAGTGAGGGCTGTGGGGAAACCAGAGATGGGCCTGGTGGCAGTTCACAGCCACCTACATGTATATCATGCATAAATACACACACAGCTGTATACATACATGCACACGTACATACATACACCCTCACATATCTGAATACACACACACGTATGTGATGGATGTGTACACACACATCTGTATGTGTGCATACATACAAACACATCTAACTACATACATGTACACTCTTGCACGTCCATGTACATACATCATGCATATATAAATACACAAACACATTCACATCCGTTCGTATATAAACGCACACACATATCCATGCCCATCTGCACACAGACTCACGGGCAGAATGGAACAGATGTACACGGAGCACCACGTATGTCTCTCACGGTTCCGCATTGGAACACAGGGAGGTGCACACTTGCCGAAACGTGTGGCCACATGTGAGCGGACCTGCTGCTGGGGACCCAAGCCAAGATGGGTGGGAAGTCCCCACGGCAACTGCCGGTGTGAACGTGTGCGGAGACAGCAGGTGTGCTGGCTGGGAATGTGAACTCTGAGCTCCAGCCTGGACTGGACCAATGACAAGAGATGTGGTTTCGAACAAGATACTGGACCACCTTGTGATTCAGTTTCCTCATCTGCAAGGTGCTGATAATCACATCTGTGGTGATGATCTGAACTCTTAGCTTGTGGCCTGGGACAGGGTGTGTGCTCAGCAAGCGTCATTGGCTCTTGTCAGGAGCCACAAGCACCCAGTGAAAGTTGGGGACCTCTGGCTGGAGACAGGGCAAGGAGAGGAATTGCAGTCACCCACTAACTCTGTACCCCTTTGCCTCGTCCATATTTTGTACCGTGTATATATTATCTAGATATTTTTCATGTCTAATAGATTGTCCTGTTAAAGGGAAACCACCATCAGCTCTTCTCACTGTGGGTTCTTTGATCTCATTTCTCCCAACCTTCTGGCCAAGAACATTTAGTGAGATTTCTAAGGATGTTTTAATGGTGTTACCAATTTTATCAACGAGTGTGTGGAATTACCTATCAGTGTTGAGTAAAGAGCCGTGAGCATTGCACATTTAGCAGGCTGCCCTTTTTCTCGGATGGGGATCTAAGAGACAGGCTCTAATTGTGAAAACGCCGTGGACGTGAAAGAGGGAAAAAGCACTTATTGATGTTTTATGTGCAGACTGGAGATCAGAGTCATTGATGAATTGCAGATGGAGGCTCTGGAAGGGCTCAGCTGAGCAGGACAGGTGGGCAGCCGGGATGATGGTGGAGAGTGTCTGTCCCATTTTTGAGGAGGAGATGGTAGCTAGGGCCCTTGGACAGCAGGGTGCTACTGAGGTCACAGCTCCTGTGTTTATAAACGCAGGCTGCTTAGATACTGGCTTGAGAAGTAATGCACATAGCACGTGTGTGGTGACCACGGAGCACAGGGAGGCCGTGACCGAGGGACAGCAGCCCAGAATGGTCAAGGCTGCTGAGCCAGGAGGAGCAGCTTTATCTCAATGCAGATGTCAGATACAAGTAAGATTTCCTTACTTAGAAGGTGACCTTGAATTTAAAAAGTTTATGCTGCCCCCACTTTTCTATCTCGTCTTAGGACTCCAGGTCTTGTCAGTGTGACCCTGAAGATATACCGAAAATGTAGCAAGAATCCCAAGCCCAGTTTTGTGTATGTCATTTGGTGTCAGATGTTGTCACCTATTTGTCTGTGGGCAGAATGGGAAGCCTCTGAGTATAACACTGGGCTTAACCTCCTTGGGCCTTAGTCTTTGTATATGTACAATGGGGCCATCTCTGTGGTTCTTTTCCACACGACAATCTGTGCGTCAGGGCCAGAGGGCAATCAAGTGTCCCTCATGTTTAACTGGGCCAGTGGCCATATGCCCAGGAGTGACTCCAACCAAGAGTGGGGCCTCCCAACCTGCCATCTTGCCCTGTTACCCCAGAAAGTTACCCAGAGATCATGAGGGGTAGCTTCCCAAGTTGGAGAAGGGCCTAACGGGGGTTGACACTGCTTGTGGTAGGTCAGGGCTTAGATGGGGTGGGGAGAAGGACGGAGCGGGAAATATAATAGCTACATCAGAAATGCCCCTTCATCCCAGCCGAGCTGACTTTTTCTGGGCTGTGTTCCACACATAGTCAGGTGCATGCGTCTCCTGCTCTGCTACCCTTTCGTCCTTTCTGACCTTTTGCCCATGATGAAACCGTCACACTCCTGACCCAGGCTTGATGCCAGGGGAGGGCTGCAGAGAGGGCAGCATGGCGTGAGTCAGACAGATGGGAGTGACCTGCTGGGTATCTGACAAGGCGGGTTCCTGGGTGGCTAACAGGGAGGCTGAAGGGGCTAGGGTTGCAGCTGCACCTGTGTTTCTTAGGTTCCTGAAAGGGAACCATTGTGAGTGCCCAGAGTTAAAAGACCAAAAGTGATGAAACAGTTCCCAGGGACGGTGACAGCGTGTGAGCAAACGTGCTGATGAAACACTGCCGTAGCTTGGGACCCCCATCACTGCCTCTATTGCTGAATAACAACTCTGTACACGTTAGGGCGAGCCTTTGGACATAGATAGCCATTACCTTTGTTGAAGAAGGGAGCGAGGTGCCTTCTCTGTAGGAGGGGAAATAAAGGTGCTATGTGCAAAATTGGACAGAAATCCTGAGGCTGATGATGGCAGAAAAATGTCGAGGTAGAAAATGAACTGAGAATCATAGTTGCAGAAGACCATTTATTGAGCACATACTGCCCATCAGACACTCGGCCGGCTCTTTTTATATGTGTATATAATTTAAGACATGGAGCAACCTGTCCAGGTAATAGCCACTGTCGTGAGGACACTGAGAGCCCGAGAGGGTCTAAGCCCAGGACACCCACAGGAAGGGGTGCAGACCCACCCTTGGCCAAAAGCTAAAGCATCCTGGACCTAGTGAGGGGGCGCAGGGGCTTGGTGAGGAGCCAGACAGAGACCCCGGGTCCCGACAGCATTTGTGGAGCACTCGTTAGGGTCTGTACACGAAAGCAGGCACCAGATGGGTGATACCTGTTTAATCCCCGGGACTGTCATAGTATTTGATGTTCTGTGATTGTAAGCGACAGAAACACACTGGAGCCAGCTGAGGTGAAAAGGGAAGTTCTTTATTTCAAGGGCAAAGCTGGGTCGCCTGAAACCCAGGAACAGGAGGCAGCCAGACTGCCAGGACTGCTGGAAACATACCTGGTGGGTGCTGTCTGTACTTATCTGCTTTATCTTCCTGTGGAAAGATGTGGCAATGGCCACTCAGGGTACCCACACCCCTCCAGGTCTCTGTCTGAGTCGCTCATCTCTCTTGGGGTCAGTGGTTGTGAACGGGGTAGACTTTAGTCCTCTGTACCTCCAAGGTTTTATCCCCATTTTACATATAAGGAGTCAAGATCCGAGGGGTTCAGTGTTCTTGCCTGAGATCACATGGCCAATGGTGGTGAAGGAAGTGGGCAGGCTTTGAACCAGGTTTAACGGACTGAAAACCTGTGCTTGTAATCACCACATGTAACTGCTCTATAGGACAATTTGTCTTAAATTCACCCGTTAATCAGAAGCGGGGGGCCTGGGGTGGGGGTCGGGGGACGAAGATGGTTGAGCCTGAGAGGGTGATTTGAGAGTCTATTTACTATTTGGTCCATTTTCATTTAAAAAGCTCTTCTTTCAAGGATGGTGACCACCTGGCTGTTTTCAACACCCAGTGAAAGAACCTGAAAACAGTGTCCTGATGCTCGAGGGTCATCAGACATGAGGGAAAGTCGGTGCTCCAGGAAGGCACCCAGCGAGGGTCACATCGTCCCTCCTGGTTCCTTCCAGGCCTCAAGCTGAAATCTGTCCTGGCAAACCTCCCCTGGCGGAACACTGGGATGCCCTGGGGGCTTGGATGTTCTCATCTGACCTTTTCGCAATCCCCAAGCAGATGGATTCGCGTGTTTTCTTTGGCTCCCTTGTTGCGCCTGGGAGAGCATGCTCATTCTTAGATATTTCAGTTTACCCGTGGGGTGGGGAGGATGGAGTTTGTTTAGAAATGAATATTTTGGTGTAGACCTGACTTGACACTAACTTAGTGACTTCAGGCATGCGCGACCCTAAATGAACACGAATGGTGTCTAAAAAAACTTCGCCAAGATAGCACAAACTTTCAGACCTGGGGGAGTGCATGCTTCGTTGTTTATCCAGAAAGGAATCTGTAAATCCACCTTCACATTCATAAACACTAACAGATGCCAGAAATAGGAGCCGGGACGCATGACCCTCTCAGAGAAGGTCCCAGAAGGTTTTTGTGGGATGGCGGGACTTTGGAAGCTGTTTGTAGGACCGCATTAACTAACGACTTCCTGCTTCTTGTTTTGCAGATCGGAAACCTGGAAAATTATTATCATTTTTATCATAGCAAGACCTTCAAACGATCGACCTTGAGTAGTAGAGGCCCTCACAGCTTCCTCAGAATGGACCCCCAGGTACAGGGGATTTTCCGGGCAGGGGACTTTCCCGGAGGGTTGTTTGCTTTTTGTTTGGGTCTGTGGTTCTGAAAATGGCTGAGTCTGGATTTTAATGTGATTCTAGATAGTCGTTCATTCTCCATATCCACTTGGAATAAAACGAGACAGATGTGTAACTGCATATCAGACCATCAAAATGTTCCAAATATTTGGGTCCCTTGTCAAACTTGGGAATTTAAATTCTTGACTTTGGGTTGAAGCAACGATCAAAGGAGTATAGATCTATTCATATTTTAACTGTTTAAAAATCAACAAAATATACAATAATAACAGGAGATAAGTATATAAATCTTACCCCCAAAGGCAAAAAGAATAGGCAAGTCAAGTGAGTATTTTAATAATGAATTAGACATTGGGCATATGGATGTTTTGTGGTTGTCATAATGCATATCTTAATGGTTACTATGAATTTAAAAGCTTGGGCGATAAACGTAACTTTTTTTCCTTAAAAAATTCATGGGGTCTTTGAGATTAAAACAAATCTAATTTGAAAAGAGGGTAACATTTTAACTTTCAATGTTTATTGCATGGTTGATTCAACTTCCTTTCTGTATAGATTTGCAATTAAGATTTGACAAATATCAGTCAACAGTCACTTGGGAAGAATAAAATGTTAAGATGACTCGGTGAGGCCTCCATGACTTCATTCATTGACAGGTGACATTGGAATACCTGCCACGTGTGAGGTTCTGTCCACAGCAGGGCCATTGGAATGAGTGGTGGGGCCAACAGAAAATGAAGCATACAGTAGAAAAACATGTGTTACATCCCAGGGTGACGAGTGCTGTGACAGGAAATGGAGTTCAGTGGTCATTGGTAAATGGAGAGCAGTGGCCATTGGTAAATCGTGGTTTCAGAACATGGAACGGCCTTCACTCAGAGCCGTGTGCTGAGTGTGGGCTCGCAGGCTGGCACGTGACACTATTTCAGCTTTTCCCAGACAACATGTATAATAACGTTTCCATGGAGAAATGGGTTTCTGGTTTTGTCCCAAGCCACCCCACAGAGAGCAGTGGCTCCTTTCATATTGCCCGAGCTGGGTGGGGGGGTGGGGCTGGGGAGAGAGGGAGACAGTTTGTCCCTGGACACTGCTCCTGAAACACCATCCCCATGGCCTCACGTTGTGGGGTTCTGATTTCAACACATGACGAGGTGGTCCCCATGGTACATTCGTGTAACTGGGCTGTGACAAGGCAGACACGTCTATATCTATTTCTGAATTCCTTTTGTGATGGTGGGTGGGTGGGTGGGTGGGTGTCGGGGAGGGTAGACAGAGAGACAGAGACCTAAAACAAGATGCTTATTCCGCTTTTCCTTCAAAGCACGGAAAGGAATTTAAGGTTACTGATGGATTACTCTGCGCTCGGGCACGTTAGCAAACATCACCTCCCCGATCATACAGCCTAAGATTATACCTACATGTCCACATCGTGGAGCGTATGTCTCTCAAAATGTCTCTCAAAGGGGAGGAATAGTTTTTTTCCTCTCAGAAGCAAAGCCAGCTTGGAGTTACTCGTTCCGGCTGAATGGGAACGCTGGAGACGGATGGGCAGACCCAGGGCCTGCATCAGTGTCGCTGATAGGAAGGGGTACACAGACAGAACAATGGGGGAGCCCCCATCCCCCAACATAGGCATGCAATGAGAAAGGGACAGTGGCTTTCTTGGTCTCCTTTCCTGCGGGGGCTGGAGGGAGAGTTCTGAGAATTAAGCAGTTTCAGTTGTTAGAACCAAGACAGAGTCGAAATACGAGGCTCAACCCGTGTTTTGTAGACATCCTCTTTTTTTGAGTGACTAAGTTTTAAAACTTTTAGAGGGGTTCAACTCAACTGCTCTTCCCTTCCTTACAAACGTAGAAATTGTGCACCTGCAGGTGCCCCAGGGGAGGCAGAGATGCACGCCCAGTGGGTCTCCATGTGGGAGGAGCCCCCAGGGGAGCAGGACACAGGAGCCTGGCCTGAGGTGGCACCAAGGGCAAGAAGGGTTCGAGGTGTGTGTGTGTGTGTGGAGGGGGTGTTGGGAAGGCCCCAGGCCACCTCCTCAGCAGCATCTGAGCTCCTGGGCTTACTCATGTGAGGTGCATTAAAAATCCCACATTCAGTTTGAATCTGTGGGCAAAATATCTCCAGTCATCAGCTGTGTCACGGAAGGAAAGAGAGGGAAGAGGAGACTTCCTAGGCCAGCACTATGGCAGTTAGGTTTTCTCCAGTAAAAATCCCTTTTATGAAGGGCTTCTTAATAAGCTCCAGGGAGGCCCGTATCACAGCACCCTGCCGATAAAGGAGAAAGAGGGGAAAGGTAAATAACCTGGCATTCCCGCCCTGCCCGGGACTCCCCCACCCGTTGGCCCGTGTCTCCCAGTTCTAATTACATTTTTAGCCCCAGGGAGAGCATTAGAGACTGCTCAAATCACTGTCGCAACCCAAATACCTCTGTTTAAATCAGCCTGGTTTTAACGCAGACCAGATCAATTAGCTGTCAGTCTAATATTTACTCTGCCTCATCATGCTGATGAAATATTAGGCAAAATTAGCTCTTTTACAGAAGTATTTACTACGAGCTTTTCTTGCATCAGGATGTTTCCCTACATTCACAAAAGCCCTTTTGTGACACCTAAGCATTTGGAGGGCGGTGTAATTAATATGATTAAGAAAAGGAAAAGATGATTTAATATTATTGAGAGGCTTTGGAATGTCAAGCCAGCCGCCCATGTGTTTGAATGACCACACTGGAAATGAATGTTATAGGGCTTAGGATAAAGTTCATTCGAATGCAGATGGCATTTTATTTTAATTAACTCCAGTCCCCATTGTATAAAAGTGCTTTGATGAGCGATGGAATTTACAGTCCACCCCTACCTCTCAGAAAAGCTGATCGGGTGTCCATTGGTTAAAACCAAACCAAACCAAACACAAGTGGGGGAGAGGATTTCAGATGTCTTTAGTCGCACACACATTTATGAAGCACCGTTTTGCACTGATCTCTCATACCAGAAATTGTGCATGGGTTTTCTTACGTGCTTAATTACCTTTGATTCTTTTTTTTTTTTTTTTTTACCACCATCTTTGAAAAGGACCATTTTGCTCAAAGTGCTTTGTTGATTGGCCCTCTCCTTGGGAGAACAGCCCAGCTGTTCTCGGCTGTTCTCAGCCTGCAGTTATCAGTCCCTGGGTTTTTCCAAGGGCTGTCATTTAAGCAAACTGAAAGCATTTGTTTTGAACTTGTTCTTTTGCCAAAAGTCTGGAGAAGGGTGGATGTTACAGAAGCGCCGGCCAATCGCTGTGAGGACTCCCAAATTTTTTTTTAATTACTTGTTCTGACTCGGTTCCAAGCTGGGTTATAGTTCGGCGTTGCTGCCTTCCAACCCTTACATTTCAGGGTGATGACTCTGGTTCGGAGGCCCCTCCCTTCGGTCCTCAGCCAGACTGATGATGGAAATGAAAGGATAAAGAGGTTATTAGGCAGGCCCTCGGCAGTTCCTTCCGGGCCGCGGGGGCCTTCAGTGTGAGGCTTCCTTTCAGTACTTTAAACCTCAGAAACTGGAAATTGATTTCCAGGACCGGAGTTGGCATGCTGGTGTGCAGGATGGGACTTTGCCCCCGGAGTTCAGCCCAAGCTCAGGTTGCTTTCCAGCAGTGAGACAGCATTGAAGCCGCTCTCTCCATTAACCACAGATGGAATTTTATCTGACCGTTTTGTGTGCTAGAACCATGTGAGGCACAAACAAACAAAAAGTTCCTGGCGAGTGCAGGCACACAGACAGTAAGTGAGTGACCAGTGATCTCGAGGTTGATGAACTGTGTGAGGGGCTGGGGGCAGGGCTACCACCCGGCCAGCCACACAAGTTTGCCTCCGTTGGAATTGGTAAAAAGTTTGAATTCCAGAATATTCTTTTTTTTTTTTTAAGAAATATTATTGGGGAACAGTGTGTTTTTCCAGGACCCATCAGCTCCAAGTCAAGTAGTTGTTTCAATCTAGTTGGGAGGGTGCAGCTCAGCTCCAAGTCCAGTCACGGGGGTCGCAGCCCACCATCCCATGCCGGAGTCAAACCGGCAACCTTGTTGTTAAGAGCACACGCTCTAACCAACTAAGCCCCTTGGCCCCCCCTCAGAGCACCTTTAAAAGATGGTGCTCTATTATTTCACAGACACCCTTGACACTTCCCCTTAGATGCCTCATCTCAAAGTCAGCATGTCCCAGAGCCTCCTCACCAGCTCTGGCCCACCTCGGCCTCAGAGAGAAGGGCCGTCTTCATTCTGAGACGCGAGCAGCAGCCTCCCTCACCCCACATTTGTCCCACGTCCTGTGCCTGTGCCACTCCGCCCAGCCCATGTCCTGTATCCCCCCCCCCTGCCCCCCTGCCCTAGGCCAAGCTCCTGGCCCTCTCACCTGGACTCTGCCTGCCTCCCCAGCCTGCTGCAGGCCTCCTTGCTCACAGGTTTGCTCCCCACCCTCAGAGGGATCCTAGGCAACACACGTGTGACAGTGCCGCTGCCTGTCGCCATGTCCCGCCCCGCCTCCCGCATCTTCCTCCTTGCTCTGGCCTCCCTGTGGCCCCTGGTCCCCAGCTACACTGGCTTTAAAATCCTCCTCAGATGACGTTCACTCTGTCCCCCTGCACAGCCTCTGCATAGCCTGCCTTTCCCACTGTCTCTTCCTCACCTGCTCCTGTCAGCTCATTGTCCCCACCACTGGGAAGCTGGCTGCAAGTCCTCCAACTTGACTTACTCTTCCAGCGGCCGTATGTTTAGGTTCTCGACGGGTGAGATGACTCGCATCTGTCTTCCCCTCTGCACTGCAGGGGGCATGCCTGCGTGTAGCTCACTGCTCCTGTCCCAGCACGACAAGTGCAAGTCCAAGTGGCATGGGCAGGGAACATCCCACGGGGGCTCCGCGCTTAGCCCCCATCCAAGCCAAGCCCTACCACGGGGGACGTGCCCCCCCAGAGGGCTGAGTGGCCATGTGGACCTTTTAAAATCTCTATCCCGGTTAAGGCCATGATGTAAACTTGTATTAGTCCCCTCGGCTGTGGTGACAAAGGACCACAAACTGGGTGGCTTAAAACAACAGAGATTTACCGTCCGACTGTGTGGAGTCCATAAGTCTGAAATCAAGGTACCAGCAGGACTCCGGTCCCTCTGAAGGCCCGAGGGGAGGATCTTCCTTGTTTCTTCCAGCTTCTGGTGGTTCTAGATCTTCCTTGGCTGGTGGCTGCGTCACTCTCATCTCTGCCTCCATCTCCACACCAGCCCTCCTCCTCTCTGTCTCAAATCTCCCTCTGCCTTTCTTTTATAAGGGCACTGTCATTGGATTTAAGCTACATGCAGTTAACCCAGCATGATCTCATCTCGAGATCCTTAGTTACATCTGCAAAGATCCTTTTTTCCAAAGAAGGTCACACTCACAGGTTTTGGGTTTACATTTTGGGAGGCCACCCGTCAACCCACTGCCAGACCCAAGGAGAGGAAGTTGCTTGAGCAGGAATGTTCTGTGAGCAGTATTTCCTCTTCCTTCAGCCCAGTGATCTGAAGGCTTTGAAAGTGATCAGTTCTCTTCACAAGAAAGTTGGGGACCCTTCCAGAAGAGTTCAACACTTACCGTACGTGCTTAGCTATAAAATGTACGAGGTGTGATGAAAACGTATGGTGAACATTAAAATTTTAAAAAATGTTTTACAGTAAAGGACATATTACCATTAATCCCCCTCAAAATACTCCTCCTCGCTTTGAACATACTTATCCCATCGTTCTTGCCACTTCCTGAAACAGTGCTGGAAGTCCTCTTTCGTGAGTGTCTTTAGTTGCACTGCCATGGCTACCTAAATGTCCTGGATCATTTTGACTTTAGGGAAGAACCAGAAGTCTCACGGTACCAGATACCACCAGAATAAGGTGGATGAGGACACACTGTAATGTTTTTATTTGACAGAAATTGCCATACCAGAAGCAATATGGGGCACAGAGCGTTGTCATGATGGAGGATGATTTATGGCACACTTTATAACACACTTTCTCTCAACTGTAGCTCACACCCGACTGACTGCACCAAACAAGTTGAAACTTGTCACATACTGTTACTAAAGTTCGGTGGGCTGCTTCCTGTACTGAAGATCCCTGTCTTTCTGTTGGATGGCACTTGGCAGCAGCATTCACATTATTTTGTGATCAGACCTCGTATTTTATTTTGCCCCAGGCTCACTCATTTGCAGGCTTACTTGGGTTTAGGACTTATTTTCCAAATTAATATCTGTGGCCTTAAAAGGTGGATAAATGTGTACCACCACCTCTTCCCATACACTTTTGACCAAGAGAAAGTGTGAACCCCTCCTATAGATGTCCTGAGGGTCAGTACACCATGATTGAAGCCTCGATGTAAAGTGACAGTCTAGGTCAGGTGTCGGCAAACTGCGGCTCGTGAGCCACATGCAACTCTTTGGGTACATTCCATCTCAAAAGTTTGCCGGCCTCGGAAGAGCCAATCCTGTCCCTCACAACAATTTAAAAACTATTTGAGAGCCATAAATATATATTTACATAATCACCATTATGTGAATAATATCCTTTAAAAATTTTATAAGTGAAACTATGATAGTTTTATTTTCATTTTCAATTTTACTTCAGAGCCACAGTTCACAAGCCACAGTTTGCTGACTCCTGGCGGCTCTTCCGTCTCAAAAGTTTGCCGATCCCTGGTCTAGGTAAACTGCCAGAGAAATATGACTTCCCGTTTGTACTAGCCCTCCCAGGAAAGGAGAATACTTTAAATCTTACAAAGAATCTTAAGTTGCCTTTTCTAATAAGGATAATTACATGTACAGGGGCAAATATTCCTGAGTAAGCCCCCCTCCAGCCCTGACCCGTACTGTCACCACCAACTCATCTTTTCACCATTTGTTTCCAAGTTTGGGAGGAGAATCCCTTGAGTGACGCATCCTTAGAGAACCTAAGCCACCTATTCCTTGATCATAAATAGCATCACCCCCGACATGGTGTGAGGGTACCCCTCTACAAGGACACGTGCAGATCCCAGTTGACGGGGGACCTAAAGTTCCAGTCACTTGGTTTTGGGTCATCGGCACCTCTGACCTTCACAGAGAGGCCAGGTGGCTCTTGGGTTCCGACCTGGGACACCTAAAGCGGAGCCCCGCAGTGGGCTGGAGGAGCAGGAGAGGGTGCCTCGGCCCTGGGTGGGAAGCAGGCGTGTCCATGCTCCCAGAGTGGAGCACTAGACACACAATAGGCTAAATGCAACCTTGTTCAATGAGCACATGCATACGTGACCACAGGAAGAGAAATTGGGACAGACAGACCTGGCCGGTGCCATGTGCAGGAATCCAGGATCCCGGTACTTTCCTGGGGCTGGGGGAGAAGGAAGGTGGTGACGGGAGCCTGGAGAGAGGAAATGCAAAGCGCGCCCAGACCAAGTGACCGCTGGCTGAATCGGGTTTGGCGATAGTGAGGTCACCTGTGGTTCCTTCTCCATAGGGTTCGGGCCCAGAAGTCTCCCAGCCTGACAAATGATTTATTATATTCAGTCCCATTGGCCTGATGGTACCTTGGTGGCTATCAAAGATTTTAATGACTGGTCCCAAACTGTGCTGTAGCCCCTGTGCCCTCAGAGCCCCCCTCAGAATTGTGTGTTAAACGTTGAGTTTTTAACCCAGAGCCTGCAACAGTGGGGGCCACGATTCCACACTCTGTCACCTCATTAGGTGTTATGTGTGACTTCTGGCAGCATGCTTTCCCACGTCACCCACTCGGGCTTGGAAGAGGAGACTCCACCTTTTTCTCTGTGACTAGAAGTGTGGTGGGGACAGCAGTCAGAGGCACCGGATGATAGTAAACTGGGTAGAGTCAGCCAGGCAGGACGGCCGGGAATATCCCAGGTTGCCTGGGGCCATCAGTGATATGCACCACTCTGTGTTACAATAGGTGTTTCACAGATTAGGAAATACCATCTTAGGGATTTTATACCAACTATACCGTCTAGTTCAGACAGTCATATATGGACCTGGTGGGGACAGCGGTCATCAGAGGGTGTTATGAGCAGAGTATCTCATTGAACAGTTTTATTTTCCATGGAAGTAGCTATCAGTGGCAATTATAAAGTATCTAGGACGTGGGACTGAGGCTGGCGTTAGTGCCAAAGCCAAAGTTGTTTTTGAGCTCTCTGTGGCGTTTCTAAGGAACGCAGGCTACTGGTGTTTTGCAGCCAGATCACACTGGTGGTGGGGTGGGCCGTGATACTTCATTTTAAGTGTTTTGCTTTGCCGATGACCAAGGGTGCCTTAGGTCAGCCCCACCCTGCATGTGGCTAACTCCGCTCTCCTCCTCGGGACAGCGTGGGGAAGGGGAAGCTGAGAGGTCTGAGGAGCTTCTGGCCCCTTCAGCCCTCGGCCGCCTTCATTTCCTGCTTAAGTCGCCTTAGGTGGCTCCTGCAGTGGCCACTATGGCCTCAGGGCTGGTCTGGGGTCACCAGCCTTAGGCTGGCCTCCAGGTTACCCTTCAAGGGCCCCACCCTTGAGCTCCCATGCCCCTCCTCCTCCTCGCCCCACCTTCCCCACCCAGTGCGTCCCCAGAGCCGGCTTCCCACTGTGGCTGCTTGGTGGGAGTCCCCAGTGGAGCACAGACTCTGAGAGCAAGGCCCGGGCGTCCTCCTCCTCCTGTGTCAGCCCCAGCGCCAGGCTGAGGCCCAGCAGGGGCGGTTCTGACCAGGTGGGGCCACGGCAGCTGGACCCAGAACTGTTTCAGTCCAGGGCATGAGAATTCCCTTCCCCATGACCTTTAAATGTGAAAAGACGCATCCACCTTGAATTCTCTCTCTCTCTCTCTCACTCTCTCTCACACACACACACACACACACACACACACACACACACGCACAAACTAAAGCCCTCATAGATTTTATCTAGAGGTCACCATCGAAAGCCCAGAATCTGACACACAGCAATGGCTTCCTTGAGACCTCTTTTCCCTCTCCATGTGANCACACACACACACACACACACACACACACACACACACACACGTTGATAATACAGCTGCGGGCCAGGCACTGGTGTGACTCCTTCACACATACCAGTCCACACGCCAGTGTCCCAACGTGACAAGCCGTGATGAGCCATTGTACAGATGAGCACACTGAGGCCGGGGAGGGTGACAGACTCTCTGAGTCACAGCTGTGGGTGTGGAACTGAGTTTTGGATCCAGGCAGCTGGGCTCTTGGTTTCCTGCTCTTCAATATGACTATTCTGCTTCTCAGACTTTCTTCCTTGGGTATAAAGGCAGATCATGCCAATGGAAAGACACATTTAAGACCCTGAAAATGATCTTTATATTTTAAATGAGCAATAATGTCACCACCAAGGAATTGCTACTATTCATGTTTTGCAGTATCGCTTTCTAGATTTTTTTTCTCTGTGCATGTTTTGGTACCATGTTTCCAGTGGCTGCTAAAATTTCCAATATATGGATTGTTGAAATGTACTTATTCATGTCCTCACCGTAAAATATCTTGCTTCCAACTGCCAATAACCATTTGACCAGTTTCTCTCCTCTGTTCGCTCTCTCCATTCCCATACACGTACGTTCTTTTAATTCGGGACAAGAGTCACTGGACAATTATTGGCAACATCACAATTTTTTTTTAAATTAAAATTTCAAAATCTACCAGTTTGTGTATTTCCCCCTCTACCTACACAAACAAGTGCTCATTTCTCAACTGCAGTCATTTTGAAGTGACAGTGTCTCCTCGGCACTAACCACCCAAGACGTCTAAGGTTACACAGATATTCCTGAAAAGGATACCTGTAGCACCTACAGAAAGGCTACGTGAAATCTGATCATTTTTAAACTAAACGGTACCTGCGTTTCTCCCTGGTAGGTGAAATGGCTCCAACAACAAGAAGTGAAACGCAGGGTGAAGAGACAGGCGCGGAGTGACCCCCAGGCCCTGTATTTCAATGACCCCATTTGGTCCAACATGTGGTACATGGTGAGTGGGACAGGGCCTCTCTCTGCCCCCAGCGTTTGCAGCGCCCTGTGTCTGGGATGGGTGCGTTCATTTCCCCCAACGAAGCTAGATTCTCACGATAACCACAAACACACGCACTTCATCTTGAGTGTAAAAACCACTAATTTCACACTGGGCAGCACAAGAAATTGTGAATTTCTTTTGAAATTATATGGAAGTCCCGGGACGGTGGGGAAAGCAGGTGCTGTGAGGTGAGACCTTGGACAGAGTTCCCGGGTAAAGATGATATCCTGGGGAAATGAAAGATCGGCAGGTGCAGAAAAAGCACCTGGATCCCTCCGTCCTGACTCTTCCTGGAAATGGGTTGCTTGGTCTGTTCCTTCCAGTCAACGGTGTCCGTGTGTCTTCTGTGCATTACAGCACTGCAGTGACAAAAACAGCCGCTGCCGATCGGAAATGAACGTCCAGGCAGCGTGGAAGAGGGGCTACACAGGGAAAAATGTGGTGGTCACCATCCTGGATGACGGCATAGAGAGGAACCACCCCGACCTGGCCCCAAATTATGTAAGTCGAGCCTCGGCTCTGATGCAGAGAGACCTGCAACCTGCTAACCTTTACACAAGAGTAGTTGACCTTGAACTGCGTGCACACAGGTTCGAACTGAGCAGGTCCACTTATACATAGATTTTTTTCAATAAATACTGTAAGTGTATTTTCTCTTCCCTATGATTTTCTTAATGACACCTTCTTTTCTCTAGCTTACTTTATTGTAAGAATACAGTATGCAGTACACATGACATAGGTGTTAATCAACTGTTTGTTTGATCAGTAAGGCTTCTGGTCAACAGTAGGCTATTAGCAGTTCAGTTTTGGGGGAGTCACAATTTATATGCGTATTGTCAACTGTATGTAGGGGGTCGGTACCCCTAATCCGCACATTGTTCAAGGGTCAACTGTACAAATTTAAAAAACAATGAAGTGCCGTTCCTGCTGTGAAATTAGGCGGCACAGAAAACTGTGCTGGGAGAGTTGGTGAGACGAACCTTTTCCCGGGAGAAGGGGTGCTGTAGAGGGATTTATGCACGTGTTTGAGGAGCCACATATGCCTCGGAGGAATGGATCCTAACAATCTTAGAAACACGTGCACGGAGACAGTCATCAGACCAACATCAACAATGTGAAAAGTGACGGGGTTAAACATGGGTGCTGAACGCAGTCCAGCTAGGTGCCTGTCTAGGCTCTGTGACCTGTTAGCCCTGAGACCTTGGGCAAGTTGCCTAATGTCTCTGTGCCTCAGTGTCACCGTCTGTAAAATGGGGTTAATAATAGGACTACTCACTGATGGGGTTATTGTAGTGATGAAATGGGTTCTTAGATGTAAAAAAGGGAACCTGGTACGTAGTAAACATGAAAAATGCTTTTCGTAGTCTAAGGAACCTGGCTGCCTAACAATGGTTAATTCAATCATATCACATCCACCTGATAGACACCTATGCAGCCCTTAAAAACGACAGTTTTGTGGACTGTGTCGACAACACCAGAGAGCTTTTATGATCTGTTTTAAATGGAAGGTGTAAAATTATATCAATACGATTATTATAAGTGTAGAAACAAAAACACACATATTAAATATATAAAATAAAGGAAAGGCCGACCTGCTGCGACTTGGAGGAACCTTGAAAACGTTCTAAGTGACACCAGCCAGTGACAAAAGGACAAATCCTGTCTGATTCCACTTAGCTGAGGATCCTAGAATAATCACATTTATAAGGACAGCAGAAGGGTGGATACCAGGGGCCAGGGGAGGGGACAGGGAGCTCATGTGTAATGGGGGCAGAGTCTCCGTTTTGTGAGATGAAAAGAGTTTGGTAGAAAAATGGTGGTGATGGGCGCCCAACAATATGAATGTACCGAATGGCGTTGACCTGTGTACTTAAGCGTGGTTAGGATGGTAAATTTTGCATGTATTTTACCACCGTGAAAACATCTATGAGATGATAGCTACTGTGGCAGAGTACCAGGTGCATGTTGTCCTCTCTTTTCCGAGAGTTATAAAAATAACTTAGAACAGGGCTGTGATATGCTGTGCTGTGCTCTTCACTCACTGAGATTTCATTTCTTAGGATCCTTATGCAAGTTATGACGTTAATGGAAACGATTATGACCCATCTCCACGATATGATGCCAGCAATGAAAACAAGTATGTCACTTGGTCCCCTCTTGCCTCCCTCACCATCCCCTCTCCCTGTGGAGGCTCCATTGAACTGACCCACAGAAGGGACGCTAGGAAGGTGACGGGTGTAGGCGCCTCTCGCCGCCTGGCTTACCCAGGCAGCCTCCTGGCAGCCGCCGTGGACTTAGCCTCTTCCTTAGGAGTGTCACCTCTAAAAATGGCCGGCTGGAGATGGATGTTTGACCAATACTGTTCCTGTTTCCAATTTTGTTATAATATTTGAAGAATAATTGTTAAATCTGATGGTCTCCACCACCAGTATGTTAAGATAGCAGCTTGCGACTTGAGCGCATGAGTCACATGCCCGAGCTTCTTTTTGACTCTGTGACGGAAGGCAGGCGGAAGGGCATGAGTGATGTCGGACAGCTCTGGTTCAAACTCCAGCTCTACCGCTCCTAGCTATGTGGCTTGTGTGAGTTGGGTCACTTTACTGAGTTCCCGTGGAGAGGGTGCTCCCGATCTCCCAGGGTCGGGGGTGGTGATGTGACAAGGACACACCATGGTTGCCCAGTCAACCAGGGTGGCATCATCCCTTTGCAGATGAAGGTGATGGGGTCAGGAGCGATCGGTGACTTGTGTATTGTAAATGGCAGCCCTGTGATTGGAGTCCAGTGTCTCACACCTGGTCCTGGGCGTTCATTTGCTCTGTCTGCTTGTCCTTTCTCTGTTGTCAATGCCCCCTGCCCTGAGCTCTTACCATGCTCCCAGAAATATTTAGAGGAAAAGGACAAAAGCCCTTTCTTTCTTCTCAGCACAACACTGGCCATGGTGTATCCCCCCACTGTCGTATTTTAGTTTTCGGGTGGCTTTATTCTGAGGTTGCAATCCTGGGACCCACACGGTGCTGGGAGAGGATGTTCAACTGGCTGCTGTGATCACCAGCACAGACTGCAGAGCCCCAGGGGCCACTGTCCCTGCCTTAGGTCCCAAGGTGCCCTTCCTGCTCAGCAGGACGTGCCTGGGCTGCATGGCACCTCCCCTCCTGGCCACATGTCCACAGGGCAAGGAGGAGTGATCCAGATAGCACACAGTGGCGCTGGACGGGCGGGGTTAGTCCTGGGTGACATACTGAACCCTGTGACTTCCTCAACAGCCCTGGCCATAGGGGCTGCACAAGGCTCAGAGACAGATGGGTGAGTCCCCTCCCTCAGGCTAACACACCAGCCCGGTGCTATTTTTAAAAGCGGTTTTAAATTTACATCGAGGATTCTAATCCCCTGTGGACGCCTCTCAAAGACGTGCTATTTAAACTCGCCATGTTTTGGCCGGATGCCGCACACTGCACACTGGGATCATTACTGAAGAAAGCAATTCCTTTTTCTGGCAATTTCTTCATAGTCCCCCCACTGCCGCTGGGCGTTCAGCTTCGAGCATTCTCAGCTCCTGCTTAAGTGGCGTGGAAATGGCGGGAGGCCTATTCCAGGTGAGCAGGGGCTGGTAGGTACACAGGGCACAAGACCTAAGTGCTTGTTCTCCCTTCCTTCTGTCCTGTCAGCCACTCAGGTGTTTGCACTGTACCTGTGTGTGCCGAGTGATGTATTGTCAGCCTCAGGAATGCGGAGGCCAGGCACTGGGCCCAGGGGACAGGAGCCCCCACTCCGATGTGCAGTGTGGCAAGACGACCCCCACACACTTGCTCGTCACGTTCAGGGTGGTGGGAAGGCCTCTCAGCTTCCAAATGTTCCAGACACTGTGCAAAGCCTGGCTTGATACTCCCCCACCCCCAGAGCAGGTTGGCAGAGGGCGGCTGGTGATGAGCGGGGACACAGGAAATGGCTTCTGCGTCATTCTGGGCATTGCGAGAACTGACTCTTCTCAGCTGAGGACTGAGCAGCGCCCTGAGTCCACTCAAGTGCTGGGCCGAGTCCTAACCTCAATTTCCCTTTGCTTCAGACATGGCACTCGTTGTGCGGGAGAAGTAGCCGCCTCAGCCAACAACTCTTACTGCATCGTGGGCATAGCATACAACGCCAAAATAGGAGGTAAGGTCTGGGCACGTGCAGCCGGGGAGTTTCGGGGCCTGGGCAGCGATGTCCAAGGCGTCCCTTTCTGCGAGTGTCAGCAACGTCACCTCCATTGGCCTCTGCCCACTGTGTCGGACCCCGGGGCCTGAAGCCTCATGTCACCTGTGCCACCGCCAGGCAGCCAGGACATGCAACTGGGCCTGGAGGCAGAGGGAGTGCTCACTATTTTGCCTAAAAAGCCATCATGGGGCCCGTTACAAAGGCACCCTCTTTCTTTCTTATGGTCCTGCTAGTCTGGCCACTGAGTCACCATTGTCAACCAGACCACTCCTCCTAAAAGGCCACACTGGCGCCCCTGCTTACTGTCCTGCAGTGGCTCCCGGTCACTTTCCTGACAGTCTACAGTCTGCCTGGGACTCAGGCCTGTCCTCGGTCCCGAGCCTGCAAGCCCACTTCTCCTGCCCACGTCCCCAGCTTTAGCCAGAGGACATTTGTCACAGCAGCCCCCAGACACACCTGGTCCTCCCTGGGCTTGTAGGATTCCCATCACCCCAGAAGCCTCTCCCCACCTCTCCATTTGGTTCAGCCCCCATAACTTGGCCAGCTTGTGCCCCTGTGCTCCATGAAGTGCTCCCCAAGTCTATCTGCCCCCCTCATCTTGTTCCCCTGGGGTCAGGTCTCCAGGTCCCTGACCCCAGCGGTCTCTGGCACTGTTGTTTAGCTTTTCCATTTGTGAGTCAAGCTGGGGTGGCTTTAGAGCAAAGGGCCTTCCCGTTCCCCACCCCAGTCTGGCAGTGTGACTGTGCCACCTGGCACACCATCAGCTGTGCTCTGCGTGGTCCTCGACGGCACAGAGCCTCGGGCACTGCCCGCTCCCCTGGGATGCTGTCTCGGCTTGGTGGTGCTCACCCTCACTCCCATCTCTGCTGCTGTGCTATGGGCAGCGCAAGGTGGGGGGCTGGGGCCCGGGGTTCCCTGAATCACCCTGTCCTTGGAGAACTTCTTGAGTTTTGAAAGGAAGGTCCCCAGCTTTGACTTAATTAGGGTTCTCTGCCTTCCCTTTCCCTTGGAAGTCTCTGAAGTGGCCAGGATCTGTCACTCTATGACAGCATTAGTCGTCAAGGGTGTGTCCTGCAGGACAAATCAGGAGACTGTCTCACTCCTTCATGGATAGTTCTTTTACACTGAGATGTGTAAGTTCTCCCTGGGGCTTCTGATGAGGGAAGGTGCCCGAGAAGCCTCCCCATGAACTGTAAGACCAGGCTGACTTGGGTACTGATCTCATTCCCAACATCCACTGGCTGTGTGTCCTTGGACAACTGAAGTAGCCTCTCTGAGCCTCGGTTCCTTCCCCTGTGGGGGAAGAGTGACAACGACACAGCTGCCTCCACAGGTCTGTTGTGAGGATGAAGTCAGATGCCATGTGTGAGAGCATTGGCTCAGGGCTGAGTCCGCAGGGAGCCTCTGAGCCAGTCTGTCCCTTCCACTGAAACTCTCAGAGGCAATATAAAAATGATCTGTGCTGCTTTGAGTAAGGAACGGACTCCACCTTTGGGGCTGTCTGAGCCTTGCTCCCCATAGTCCCTGGACTGGCAGCATTGATGTCATCTGGGAGCTGTTAGGAATACAGAATCCTAGTGCCCAGCCCAGATCCACTGAGCCAGAATCGCCTTGTAACAGGACCCCCAGAGGGTGTTGGAGAAGAGATGGTGTAGAGGGCTCTGGGGTCAGGTTGGTCTGTAACCCCCGTACCGTGGACCGTGCTGAGGAGTCAGTGAAAATACAGTGACTGTGGTTTGTTCTCACTGGATTTGCAGAATTGTCTACCCAAGTTTCCCGAGTTCTGCAGAGAGCACCTCTACTGCCCAGGCCTGGGAGCAGAAATACTTTGAATTAATACATTTAATGTATTTGAGCACGATCTACACATATAATGCTGTGCTAGTCAGTGAGGGGCGGAACACAGAGATGACAGGCAGTTTGGACCTCCAGGAGCTCAGCAGGCCTTTGAACAGTGTCAACACGAAAGACAATACAGGACCAAGTCCTGAAGTGACAGCGGCAGACGGAGTGGCTGGGCAAGCAGGCAGTGAAGGCAGATGCATGAGTTTGGCGTGGGAGGAAGAAATGCAGGAAGTGCTGAGGAAACAGGAGGGTCTGTAGCATGGAGCGTGCTACAGAGGGATTGGGACCATGGTCCTGACTGGCCATGGAGATGCGAGTGTGGGGTGAGGCTGGCATGGACCCAGGGAACCTGTGACAGCGTGTGACAGCTTCATCCTCTCCACACAGGCAGCCACCCCTTCCTCCTTCCCCTCCCTCCAAGGCCACCCCTGGACAGGGCAGCCTTCAGGCACCCCAACATAGCCTCTGTCTCCGAGTGTGCACGTATTCACCAGGGAATTTCTCTGAGATGCCCCTGGAGCTGACCAGGAGCTGTACCTGATTATATATTAGGAGATTAAAATATCAGGAGATTAAAATGTATATCCTAACCTACCCAGTCTATCTGGAATTAATATTATACTGCTTCATGTGTTAATACATGCACCTACAAAGATTATTTGATTTCACACTCACTCGTCCTTTTGTGCTATTGTGTCTATATGTTTGATGTCGTATGTTGTAAACCACCATGCATTACTATTCTTGCTTTAAATAGTTGACTTTAGAATACCCATTAAAAGAAATATATTTCCCATGCTCAGGGCTCTTCCGTACTTTCTAGCTTTGATTTCCATCTGCTTCCAATTTTTCTTCAGCCGGAGAATTTCTTTTAGTATTTCTTGACGTGCAGCCATGCTGGTGAGAAATGAATCTCAGCTTTTTTTGGAAAGAGTCTTTATTTTGAGGGAAATTTTGCTGGACATAGAATTCTGGTGTGACATGTTTTCTTCAGCATTTTAAAGAGGTTGTTCCATTGTCTTCTGGCACTCATTGTTCTTGGTGGCGAGTTAGGTGTCATCCTTATTGTTGGTCCTCTTTGCGAATGTGATTTGTTCCTCTGCCTGCTTTTATCATGTGTTTCTTTCTACCTGTTCTTTGGTGTAATTGTCTTCATATGTATCCAGCTTGGGGTTTGCTGTGCTTCCTAGTGTGTTCTTTTTTGTTTATCTAAATCGAATTTGGAAACATTTCTTCAAGTATTTTTTTCAACTCCGTTTTCTCTCCCTTCTCTTTGGGCACTAGTTGTAGTTGTTAGATTGTTTGATCTACCTCAAAGGTTGTCTAGGATGTATTTATTTTTTTTAATTCTTTTTTTTTCTCTGTGTGCTTCAAATCAGATTATTTCTATTGCACTGCCCTCAGGTTCCCTGATCCTTTATTTTAATGTATCCAATTTGTTAATCCCATCCAATGATTTTTTTTTTATTTTTTACTTTCAGATATTGTGCTTTTCTGTCCTATGATTTCCATTTGGCTCTTTTTTAACTGTCTCCAACTCTATTCTGAGTTGCCCCTTCTCTTCACCCATGATATATTTTTATTTTAGACTCTTTAACATATTTATAAGAGTTACTTTAAAGTCTTTTGTACTAATTCCAATATCTAAGTCATTTGGGGCTATGTTTCTAATGATTAACTTTTCTTCTTACAATGGGTCACATATTCCTCTTTCTTTGCACATGTCTAGTAATTTTTAATTGTACAGTAGACATTGTTATATTACATTGTAGAGACTCTGGATTCTGTTATCCTTGTCTGAGTACTGTTGAATTTTGTTCTAGCAGTCAGTTCAGTTTTAAGTTGTAGAAGCTTGATGATTCTTTTTTTTTTTATTTTTTTAATGGCTGATCTCTTTCTGATTTGCCCTTAGCCTTAGGGAAATTCCTTTAGCCCAAGCACATAGTCTTTACTCTTAGATCATGACCCTGCTAGTATTTCAATGGAAAGACTGAAATGTTTACCAAGATCTCTAAGTTAACAAGACTCACACTCCAAATTGACTCCCCTGCAGTGGATAGCAGCTGAAATATCTGCTTAGCTCATTCAGCCTCCAGCTGTTCCTCTCCTCCTGGACTTCTTAGAGTCTTGCTCAAACATGTTTAGTTCAGAGGTCAACCAATATTTGAGGGGAGTTTATATGTCCTCTTCTGTAACACTCTCCTTTCTGGGATTTCTCTCAATTGCTAGCTGCTCTCGCAGTCCCAAACTCCATCCCACGACTCCTCAGGAGAACAAGAATGCACTTTCCTGCTTGAGTTCTAGCTTCTCTGTACCAGAGAAATGGGGAGTTCCCTTAGAGGAGAAGCCTTATAAACTTGGATCATATCCGGTATTGTTCCCTTCTTTCAAGAATTGAATCCCTTGCCTGCCTCTGCCTTCTTCTGGTTGCATTCCAGTGATCTTAAAAAGTTGTGTTTAAAGAGTTTTTTAAATCAATATTTTGTCCAGAGTGTATAATTACTGTTCTTAAAAGAGTGTGATAGAAGCTACTTTGCCAGTATTATAACTAAAACTTGTGGCTTTATATTTCTTTACCAAATAGGTGATGCATTAGTTATCTATTGCTGCATGACTATTACTCCAAAATGTAGCTACTTGAAACAACAAACATCTGTCATCTAGCACAGATGGTGCCTTAGCTGAGTGATTCTGGCTCATGAGGCTGCAGTCACACTGTTGGCCGTGACTATAGTCTGAAGGCTTGACTGGGACTGGAGGGTCAACTTCCAAGATGTATCACTCATTTGGCTATTGGATGGAGTCCTCAGTTCCTTGCTGGTTGTTGGCAGGAGGCCTTGACTCCTCATCATGTGTACCTCTATATAGGGTCCTTAGAGTGTCCCCATAATATGGTAGTTAGCTTCCCTCATTGCAGGTGACGAGAGAGAGAGAGAGAGAGAGAACAAGGAGAAAGCAGCAATGTTTTTTTATGACTCAGTCTTAGAAGTTACATACCATCACGTTCAGTCCTACTTTATTTTTTAGAAACGGTTCATTAAGTCTAACTTATACTCAAGGGGAGAGGAATTAGGCTGCACCTTTTGAATGGAGAAGGTTCAAGGAATTTGTGG